GAAGTGCAGCCAGAGTACTCCCTGGAGGCCAGGATGGCCAAACTTTGTCTCTCATACTTCGGACATATTGTCAGGAGGGACAAGTCACTGGAGAAGGATATCATGTTTGGTAAGGTGGAGGGTCAGAGAAAATGGTGAGGCCCCCAGCAAGATGGATTGGCCAAGTGGCAGCATCAATGGGCTCACGTGTGACAACAATTATGAATTTGGCCCAGGATCGGGAAGTGTTTCATTTTGTTGTGCATAAGGTCACTATGAGTCGGTGCCAACTCGATGGCACTTAACAACAATATCAATAATGTAAATATAGAAATGTTTTAAATTTGGTCATTTCAACAGTTTCTCTTTTTAAGGTGATACATTTTGTTGGAATAGCATTTATTACATAAATAGCATAAATGATAAACTTGTTTCATTTACATAAGGGTATTTACCAGTAATAAGAAGAATGAATGCAAGAAGATGAAGGAGTGCTTTCGAGGACAGATTTAAACCATGATCTAAAACTCAACATTACACTCTACACTCTTAAATTTGTTTAATAGCTTTTATCCCAAACCCGTCATCATCAAGTCCTTTTTGACTCATATTGACCCTGTAGTAGCTATTGTAGTTCTTTGAATATTACCAGAATGCTAGGACCCTTGGCTTTCTGATATTCTTCTTTAAATGTAAACCCTTTAAGAAGTAGACCCAGGAGTCTTGGTGTGGCTCTGTGGATTAATGCCCTGGACTGCAAAGTCAGTTTGAACAAGGTTGGCAGTTCAAGCTGCTCCTTGGAAACCCTATATAGGGTCGCTATTGGTCGGAACTGACTCATTGTCACTTAACAACAACAACAACAATCCTCAATAGGACAATGGCTAAGCAAACTATGGTGTATTCCTACAATGGAATAATTGTTTGTGTTCCATCAAAACATTAGGGACAGAGTAGAACTGCTTCATGGAGTTTCCTATGATGTAAACTTTACAGAAACAGATTGCGTGGGTTTTTCTCCCTGTGAGTTTCAAACCACCAACCTTTCAGATAACTGCTTAATAAAGAAAAGACTATTAATACATGCAGCAATATGACATTACAATATTTCAATATCAGTATATCATTATCAGGTGCGCCTGACCCAAGACATGGTATTTTCAATAACTTCTTATGCATGAGAAAGCTGGACAGTGAATAAGGAAGACTGTAGAAAAATTGATGCTTTTGAGTTATGGTGTTGGAGAAGAATATTGAAAGTGCCATGAGCTGCCAAAAGAACCAATAGATCGATTTTGGAAGAAGTGCAGCCAGAGTGCTCCTTAGAGGACAAGATGGCCAAACTTCGTCTCTCTTACTTTGGACATATTGTCAGGAGGGACCAGTCACTGGAGAAGGATATCATGTTTGGTAGGGTGGAGGGTCAGAGAAAAAAGAGGATGGCCCCAATGAGATGGATTGGCCAAGTGGGCAGCATTGATGGACTCAAGCATGGCAACAGTAATGAGGTTGGCCCAGGATCAGGCAGTGTTTTGTTCTGCTGTGCATAAGGGTTGGTACTGACTTGATGGCACCTAAAAACAACAAAATATCACTGTCAGTGGCTATGCGGAACTGTAGGGTAAGCACTGCACTGCTAACCACAAGGTCGGCAGTTTAAACCCACCAACCACTTCTTGTAAATCTTATGCAGGGATGCTATGAGTTAGAATCAACTTGACAGCATCTAAGAACAACATATCAATAGTCAGCAAAGTGTTTCCACAAAAGGACAGGTAGTAATGACTCAAAAGGAAGTGAGGAGAACAGTAACATTGGAAATGGCACAGACAGCAAGAAGCTGTGACTGAGTATGGAAGCAGCAGAACCAGGAGACCAGCACAAGATGGTATAGTTGACCCATGGAACTATATAGCCAAGTGTTTCCAGACAAGAGACTTCCTAGCAGGGTGGAAAGCTCCCAGACACATATTAGCAGAGCTGCTTCTTCTTGTTAAGTCTCCTTGAGTCAATTCTGACTCTTAATGACCCTGTATAGGATTTCTGAGAAGCAGCTGGTGAATTTAAACCACTGACGTTGCAGTTCAAACTGACCTTGCAGTCCACTGCATTATCCTGCAGTGTCACAACTAGACTTGCCTATTCAGTGGAGCAAGAGACTGAACACCCTCAAGCGTATGATTCCTGGAGAAGTGGGGTGACTTATGACACTTATTGGTAGAGTTAAAGAGACTTGTAGCACTTATTCAAGCAGAACAGAGGCCAAGTTGGCCAAGAGATCTAATAGGTCAAGAAACCAGGAATCATAGCTGAAGAGACAAGGAGAGAAACAGAGCTGCTCAAAAAGCAGGCCATGACATCTGTGTTTGAAAGGCTGGAGCCACAACTATACAGGCTTCAAACAATCAGATTGTCACCAACTCAGTTCTTGCGTATGGGACTGTCATTCATGAATAACAAGAAGATGAGGCCACATCTTTTACAAAAAACTAAGGAGAGCAAGCTGCCATTCACAAGGAACAGAAGAGCAGAGCCTGCTGGACTGAGGGCGTGGAGTCACCGCTTACTTGGACATGGAGAATGGAATTGCCCAAAAGCCAAGGAGAGCAGAGTTGCTATCCCAGGGGGCCTAAAAGGAGGAGCTGAAGTCCAGTGCCAAGGTGCCTCCACCTAGAATCCAGAGTGTGTAGCCAACATCCAGAGTTTGGAGGGCAGTAGTGTTATCTAGATGGTGTCCAAAATATTCATCTGGGTTTGGGGCTTTCTTGGTGCCTGTTATTTATGTCATTTGTAACGGAAATGTCTACCCTTTTTTTTTTTTAACCATTACACTATGGAAACAGATAACTTGTATTCTAGATTCCACAGATGAAAACAAATTTTGCGTTAGAAGATTTGGATTTGGTGTTGATTTAACACTTTGGGGATGATAGGGTAGAAATGTTTTGTATGTGGCTGAGGAATGCCATAGATTGAATTTTGTCACCCCAAAATATGTGTCAGCTTGTCTGGGTCATGATTCCTAGTGGTTTAGCAATTATGCTGTGATACAGTTTGGCAATCATGTAATGATGTAATCATGCTCCATGATGTGATCTGATTAGGATGGGATACAACACCCTTAATCCAGTTTTAGCACTAATCCAATTTAAGGGGAGTTTCCCTGGGGTGTGACCTGAGTCACCTTTTATAGTACAAAAAGATCAAAGGAGAAAGAAGTAAGCAGAGTAGGAGGGACTTAATACTATCAAGAAAGAAGAGCTGGGAGTGAAGCACATTTTTTACACTTTGAGTTTTTGAGCTGAAAACCTCCTAAACCAAGGGGGAGATTAATGCCAATATACGTGAAAATTTTCAAGGCCCGTCAGGTCCATAGGCATTGAAAGGAGACAAGGCCCGTCTCCCAGAGCCAACAGAGGGAAAGCCTTCTCCTGACTTTGGAAGTGTAGTCTCTTAAATTGTGAGAGAATGAAGTTCTATTTTCTAAAGCCATGCACTGGAACTGACTCAACAGCATCTAACAACAAAGCCATCTGCTTTCGGTTTTTCTTTATAGTAGCACTAGGTAACAAACCTATTTATGGCAGCTTTGAAAGTTCATGAAAAAAATCCATTCTCTTTCAATTCCATTTATTCATGAATTTTTTGAAGCCCCCTCATATATATTGCATGGTCCCAGCTTTGTGAGAAAAATATATGTTTGCAAGAGGAAAAGTATATATTTTTAAAGATAAGACAAAAAAAGTTGAAATGATATACATAAAACTTAAAATTAGTACATTTGGGAGACTGGGATTGGCAGTAGAAATTAGAAGAATACTTAGCATGTATATATATTGTTTGAATTTTACTGCAGAGCTATATAACTTTGAAATGAAAAAAACTCAGGCTTCTTGTTAGTTTGTTCATTGTTTTCATCCTAAATGAGTAAACTACTCATTAGGGAATTCTACCATAAAAGCAGTGATCTTTTAGACCAGAAGAAATAAAATTCAAAGATGACAATTCCTTATTTAAAGAATCTAGAAACCCAGGGTGTGAAGAAACTTCCTGAGTCAAACTAATCCAGTAGTGAATTGTGGGAAAGTCTGCATTAATGAGGACAGACAGAGCTTCTTCCTAGTAGTCAAGATATCACTTGTGCCTCTCAGGACATTACTGAAAGCCCTAAGTCTTGATACACTAATGAATATATGGAACAAAATGGATATTACAGTAATAGTATAAAAGAGAAATGTATTTTTTTTTTTTTTAAAAAAAGGCCCATTTCTAGCCTGTAAGAAAAATGTAAAGACAATTTAGAAAATGACCCTTTCAAAGAACTAATACTTGCAAACTCATAATCACAGTTCTGATATGTAGCATCTTCTCTTTCATGTTGGTCAGAAAATGCTTTCAAATGCTTTCAATCATTTTGTCAGACTAAAATTAATATTTGTAGAATTGAAATGACTACCTTCATAGGAATTAGTATTCAGTACAAGAGAAGACAAATAGAAAAGATGGAAATATTTAGGATATTTAGGTTAATATAGGCTATATTATGAAATCTATGTTGAGTGCTGTTGAGTTGGTTCTAACTCACAGCAGCAGCCCTATATACAATTTCCAAGAAGCAGATGGTGAGTTTGAACTGCTGACCTTGCAGTTAGCAGTCCAGTGCTTCTCTTACAGCACCACACCAGGACTCCATGCAGCCTAAAAATCTCATGATATTTTTAAATTCCTGATATTCTGGTCATCGGTTTAAAAATTATTCTAATGAAAACAAAGTTATTTATGAACACTAATCCCTGGGTAGCACAAGTGGTTAAACACTTGACTACTAGTCAAAAGGTTGATGGTTCAAAACCACCCAGAGTCACCTCACCTTGGAAGACACGCCTGACAGTTTGCTTCTGAAAACTCACAGCCCCAGAACCTCGCAGAGCAATTTGACTCGCTGGCAACTAACAACAGTTTCAAGTCTACTGATAAGTTTTCTCTCTTTTTTAATGTGAATGTCTGGTTTGTCTTTACAGAGTCACTGGAGGTGAGCTGTTTGAAGACATAGTGGCAAGAGAATATTACAGTGAAGCTGATGCCAGGTAAGTGACTTGCCCTGGACAAGACACAAGACAACATTCAGATGCACTTGTTCATTGTATTTCTTTACAAATGAATCAAGACATTTAAGTTTTTATGAGGACCTCGTGATACCATCTTGAACTTCTTTTCATTATTTTAATTGGTATTTCTTTCTCTTAAGGATCTTTAGGATTCTTCTGGGGGCAAAAAAAAAAAAAAAAACTATGAATATGATCTAACATAAAACAAATAATAAAACAAAAACAATCTTAGCAGATAACTTATGCTGGCTGAATAAGCATATACTTTTTAAACAAAGATTGCAAGATCTGCAGTCCTGGGCTGCCCAGTGTGATAGTTGCTAGTCGTATATGACTATTACAATTTAAATTAATTAAAATTACAAATCCAGTGTCTCAGTCAAGTTTGCCACATTTCAGGTGGTTAAACCTGAATCAGGAGCATAAGTATCTCATGATTACCAACTCAACAAAGCAGATATTTAACATTTCCATCATGATAGAAAGTTTTATTGAATGCCACATGTCTTGTCTTAGACCATGGAGTCCTGGTGTGGTGCTGTGGGCTAATGCACCAGATTGCAAAGCTGTTTGAACTGCAAGGTCGGCGGTTCAAGCTCACGAGCTGCTCCTTAGAAACCCTATATAGAGTCACTATGGGTTGGTATTGACTCAACGGCACTTAACAGCATGGGTTGGAATTGACTCAACGGCACTTAACAGCAACAATAGACAGAGACCATGAAAGAAACAAACTGAAAAAAGCCACGTGGTCTACATAAAGCACTACTATAAGGAGCTCTGGTAGCGTAGTGGTTACGAATCGGGCTGCGAACCTTAAGGTCAGCGGTTCGAAACTACCAGCCGCTCCGCGGGAGAAAGATGAGGCTTTCTACTCCCGTAAAGATTTACACCCTCGGAAACCCTGTACAGGGTCGCTATGGGTCGGACTCGACTCGATGGCACTTAACAACAACAACAACAAATATGCTATTTAACTCTTTGAAAAATTTCATTAAAACCCTTGAAACTCAGACTTGAAAAGTATTTATCCATATATTCCAGAGTCAGATGTAGTGATTTACCAATGGCGTTAACTGGCAGCATCTTTACGGAAGTTAAAACAGACTAACATTTTATCTAAATTGAAGCTTTCTTAAAGGACACAAAGGTAATGTTTTTGGTGTGAAGTAATGTTGTTGTTGTTGTTAAGTGCCGTCGAATCAGTTCCGACCCATAGCGACCCTGTACAGGGTTTCTGAGGGTGTAAATCTCTACAGGAGTAGAAAGCCTTATCTTTCTCCCGCGGAGCGGCTGGTAGTTTTGAACTGCTGACCTTCATCCAGAATTCCTGGTGATGCAGTGATTAAAGCACTCGGCTGCTAACTGAAAGATTGGTGATCTGAAACCACCAGTGGCACCTCGAGAAAAAGATGTGATAGTTTGTTTCCATAAAGATTTATAGCTTTAGAGATACTTTGGGCAAGTTCTGTTCTGTATCAGAGGATCACTATGGGTCAGAATCAACTTGATGGCAATGAAACATAATAAGTCTGTTTGCTTAGATATTATTTAGACTATATGTTTCTTATTTTCTTCAGCATGCTTTATATACTATAACATTGAAAAACTTACAAAACAACAAAGGAGTTGTCACATTTGTCTCATGGTAACTCTATGTGTATCAGAATAGCTCTGTGCTTTGTAAGGTTGATAAGGACTGATTTCTTGTTAGTTGATCATCAGGACTCCCTTGTGAGGCACCGCTGAGCTTAGTACCTTCAATTTTTTGATTAGCAGCCAAGAGAGTAAAGCATTTATACCACTCCATAAATTATGTTGCTATGTGCCGTTGTGTTGCTTCCAACCCATAGCAACCCTGTATAAATAGGGTTTCCAAGGAGTGACTTGTGAGCTTGAACCACCAACCTTGAGATTCAAACCGACTTTGCAGTCCAGCACATTAAACCCACAGTGCCACACCAAGACTCCATATAGTCTGTACTTGGTGCTTAATTTGAAAAATGTGGTTATCTGGTTATGAATAATTGACTCACTATGAGCAATGTAAATGAGATGAAAATTCAGTATAGACAGACTGCTCTCATTCTCTGGTGCTTTCAGAGCCCTGGGCAGCTTGCCAATCCACTATAGTCGGATCCTCAGCAGATATTTGCTGTCCATGATAGCATGTGCATGAATCAGAGGCAAACTTCTGTATTCCTTTTCCCCTTGGTTTCATGCCATTGTTTATGGAATTCTGTGAATCTGTCTGCACATCATTGTTGTTGTTAAGTGCTGTAGAGTCGGTTCCAAGTCACAACAATCCTGTATAGGGTTTCTATGGAGTAGGCTGGTGGGTTGAACACCAACCTTGCTGTTAGCAGTTTAGTGCTTATCTCTCAGAGCCACACCACTTACCCTTCAGTGCTACAACACTACACTCTAAGTTGTAATAGAGTTTTACTGCCAAAGTAAAATAAAAAGCCCCATGCTACTTTCAATATGAGAAGTGAGCCCTCACTTGTTTGATTTACCTTCAAATCCTCACATATGTTGTTGTTAAGTGCCGTCGCATCGGTTCCAACTCATAGCAACTCTGTATAGGGGCCTCTGAAAAAGTATTTCAGAGCAGCCTTGCAAGTGCCTGTTTGCCCACTTGCTCAGAGGCAATACTTCTGATCAGTGCAGAAAAGCAAGTTAAATTTACTGCCATCGAGTGGATTCCAACTCATAGTGACCCAATAGGTCGGAGTAGAACTGTTGATGTCCGCTCCCATGAGGACATAGAGTCTTGGAAATTGTAAGGAACCATTTGCATACAGTTTTCAAGTTTGTAAATCTGCCTGGTAGCAGACAGCCTTAGTGTTCTCCCATGGAGTGACTGGTAGATTTGTTCTACCAACATTGCAGTTAATTATCCCACAGCTCCACCCACAAAAAACCCAAACCTAACGATTGGTTATCTTACCTTTATTTAACTTAGAAAAGCAAAAATACAATGTGACAATGTCACTGCTATTTTCATCTTTCAAAGTGAAATTAAATTGTCATGATGTTTGAAGATTATTGATTGGAATGAAAAGAAACTGCTTTCACTGTTAAAGAGCCCTGTAGGTTAGACACTAGGGGTTGTATCATTTAATATGCACACTTATAATAAGCTTGGTAAATAATTGTAGGATATAGTTTAGGATTGTTGCTGTTGTTAAAGTGCCATCAGGTCAGGGCCGACTCATAACAACCTGAATAGGTTTTCCGAGGAGTGACTGTTGGGTTTGAATCACTAACCTTGTGGTTAGCAAGTCTGGTGCTTATCCTACAGTGTCATACCAAGTCCTACAAAGAAACAAGAAGAAACATTCTTTCCCAACTGTAATCACAAAAAGGATATTCCTCAAGTAATTTCTAAATGTCAATTTTCTTACTAGTCCTCAGAAGTTAAGAATTGAATATTTTGTCACTAGTAAAAAAAGAATTCAACATTCATGGAATATGCCTTTCTATTTTCTGTTATCCCCTGGTGGTAGCTGGTGGCTGTGTGCCATGGAGTCGGTTCCGACACATAGCGACCCTGTACAGGGTTTCCGAGGCTGTAAATCTTTACGGGAGCAGAACGCCTCATCTTTCTCCTGCAGTACAGCTGGTAGTTTCAGATTAGCAGCCTGATTCATAACCACTATGCTACCAAAGCTCCTTCTGTTATCCCCTAGGTTCAGTACATTAGATCTCTGGTTTAAGAGCAAAAAAAGAGAAATTTCCCTAAAAGGTAGTATAAAATAATATTGTGGAAGAAAAATAGTCCTAATGTTTAAAAAATAATAACCCTCAAATAAACTATTTAGTCAGACACAACCAAAGTGAGGCTGTTGAGTGGTACTGTTAATAGTTAAAGCTGTAAAATCCCAATCATCACTGTTCTGACATTTACATCACAAGCCACATGAATACTTTTTAAATCCAGGATTTTACTGTGGAGAAATACTATATTGTATAGTAAACAGTTGAAAATGTGTTTAAGTTGTTTGCTTAATCTTTAAATGAATGTAATTCTATATATTCCTGCAATGAATCTGTATAAAAGTCATCAGTGTGATGTGTTCAACATTTCTGTATGTCAGATGACAACTCAAGGAACTTCATAGGTGCCGATCAGTGGTTTCCTCCTCTAATTAAATTAGCATCTACTTGACATTGTTGTTATTAAGTACCAATTGAGTGGGTTCCTACTCATAGCAACCCTATATAGGGGTTCTAAGAGTGGCTGGTGGGTTCGAACCATGGACCTTACAATTAGCAATCAAGTATATATCCCACATTGCCACATCAAGACTCCCCCTACTTGACTTTGTTGTTGTTATGTGGCATCTAGTCTGTTCCCACTGATAGTGACCCTATATAGGGTTTCCAAGGAGCAGCTGGTGTATTTGAACCTCCAACCATGTGACTAGCAGTCCAATGCTTATCCTACAGTACCACACCAGGGCTCTTTACTTAACATTGTTGTTATTGGTAAGTGGTATGGAGTCAGTTCCAACCCATAGCGACCCTGTAAAAGGTTTGAAAGGAGCAGCTGGTGAATTTGAACCACCAACCTCGCGGTTCAAACTGACTTAGTGATTCAGTGCATTATCTGCAGCACGACACCAGGACTCCTACTTGACATTTGTTGTTGTTGTTCTGTCGGTTCCAACTTGTTGTTGCTGTTGTTAAGTCCCGTCAAGTCAGTTCTGACTCATAGCAACGCTGTAGAGGGTTTCCAAGGAGCAGCTGTTGGATAGCAACCCTGTGTAGGGTTTCCTAGGGGCAGCTGGTAAGTTTGAACTGCCAGTCTTGTGGTTCAAACCGACCTTGTGTCTTAGTACTTAATGTACAGAGCTACACTCCTTGATGTTGTTGTTAAATGCTGTCGAGTTGGTTCTGACCCATAGTGACCCTATTAGTGAGCTTTTAATAAAAGTCGTACATGTTAATGTATGCATTTTTGCCACAGTTAATAGGCAAAGGTCTCCTCAGTTGAGATATATTAAGATGTGTTTAACCAGTGCTCCAGAGGATTTTTAAATTTTATATATTTATTTATTTATTTCAAGATTCCTGACCCTTCCCCAGTGTATTTCTTATACTGAAGAGGGGTTTACTTTAAATCCTCCCTTTGTTATTGGGGATTTGCATTAATATATTATACAAGAAGCACCACTTCCAAGTTTAAATGATAAATGTGTTATATTTTATACTCTTGTTCCACCTGTCACTTCATCTGTGTGTATTTACCCTCTTGTTTCAACACCTCTGTTTAATTGTGACTTCAGATGTTAAACAGTTTAGATGTGTTTAAGAAATGCCTATACATTTTATAGGTTTGAAGAATCTTTCCAGATAATTATGGGAATTATTTATAAATCTTCATGAATAAAGAAAAATCAACATCTCCATACATGCAAATTAATATGTAGACTTGTAATGAAGAAACCACAGCTCAAATTGTTTTATCTGAACCTGTCACAAATTCTATGTTGGATGTCATTTTTGTTAAAGCCAGAATTAGCTTTATTCAACATTATTTAATTCCAGTGCAAAGCTAAAAACTATGCAAAGAATATGATTTCCATTTGTTCTGTTTTCTTTGAACTTTCATTTTATTTTGTATCCAATGTGATTATGTGCCTTTAAAATGTTCTCCCTTCCATTCTGCCCTTGTATCTTTACAGTCATTGTATACAGCAGATTCTAGAAAGTGTAAATCATTGTCACCTAAATGGCATAGTTCACAGGGACCTGAAGGTCAGTATATGGAGTACATAAATATGAATCAAAGGAATTTGTTTTGTTTCCTGGGAAAAGGGCAGAGGGTGGGTATTTACAATGATTCCCTTGCCTTTTCCAACTTTTCCATAAAACAATTAAATGATGAAATGATAATATTGCATGATGCCTCTTTCAGTTTGCTCATCTACAGGCTACATATACATCATAGCAAAGAGAAATACAGCAGTCAAAATACAACCTGTTAAAGTTCCAACCAGTAAACCACCAGCTGCGGTTTGGGGGCAGGTATTCCTGAAGTATCCAGCATTTGCCTGGAGATAAACTTGGCCTGTGATGTATGTCTGCCTGTAGATTTAAACACCACTTCTGTTCTGAGACCATGGGTTGCTATAGCAGAACAACTGGTTACACATTGCTCCTTTTGAGTCTGATGAACCCTCAGGCAAGGAATAATAATTGCCAGCTAAATTAAAGCACAAGAAGTTAATGATTTATCAAAAATTAATTATGTATCCTAATTTAACCTTAATGGTATCTTGACTGCTAATGTGACAACTTTGGGAATGACACTAGAAAATTGGGAGAGGATAGGGAAATGAGGTTTGTTGTAGGGGGGAGTGAAGTGGAAAAGAAACACGGCCATAAAATGATTTGTGTTCCAATCCATTTCCTGTATGAATTTATAACCAGGAAATTATTTCCTGAATTAGATGAAGTACTATCAAGATGAATCTGTCTAGAACAAGCGGATCCCATATTCCGGCACACATCTGGCAAGATCCTGATTGTTCTGAGGTAGTAGTCTGCTTGAGCAATATGTTTGCATTACTGGAAGTGGTAAAATACATCCCCAGTTGTCTGCTAGTTTTGCACTTTAACCCAGTCTCTCTGAGGGTGTACAGACAGTGAGTGTAAGCTTGGAACTAACACACGCCCCCTGGTGTTTGCATGCAGTCATTGCATTCAGCAGATCCTGGAGGCTGTGCTACACTGCCATCAGATGGGCGTAGTCCATCGGGACCTGAAGGTGAGTAATGCCGTTGGAGAAGATAAACCACCACACAATTCCTAATGACTGTTCAGCTGCAATTATGCCTATAAAGGCAAAAAATATGAGCAATATATTGTGTGGACTCTTTCCAATATATTATGAAAACACTTTCCCTTACCACTATCTCTCTCACTCTCTCTTCTTTTTTTTTTGGTCTCTTCTCTGATGTACACTGAGGTTCATATAAATCCCATTTATACAGAGAGAAGTAATTTTCAAACATTAATGATAAATAGGTTGCTGTGTACTTCCTCCTAATAATGGCTAAATCATTCCATTTGAATTTTAGTAATCTCTTCTTCATTCTAAACTAGTTTTGTGGGCATTTATAAACATATGATTTTACACTCATAAAATAGTTGATTCAATTTATGTAAATGCTCATCAAAATTCTAAACTGAGCAAAGATACAGCTATTAAGTTGACTTATAACCCAGGATTTTTTGCCTCTTCAGGACCCCATTTTGGACTCTAATAAACTTATCTTTCCCTTACCAGAGTCTTAGGAAATCTGAAGATACTGAAATTTCTTGGTTATTTATTTATTTGTTTATAGTCATAGAGGCCAAGATTCTAGTGCATTTTTGAAACCAGAAGTGAAGAAAAAAATTAAAGCCAATTTTACCATAAAGCAATTTGTGTGGCACAAACTACTAGCCAAAGGTTGGTGGTTCAAACTTACCCAGAAGTCTTTTAGAAGACAGCCTGGCTATCTGCTGGGTCTCTAGGGGTCAGAATCAACTCAGTGGCAACTAGCAATAGCAAAAGCAGGAGAACCTAAACTGGTGTCTCATGTACAGATTTCTCTAGATTGTAACAAATTCTCAATCTATTCATTTAATACAGCTCAGGATAAAACTAGGATGGGCAATGGTTCTGTCAAATAAGCACTGGACTCTGAGCCACAAGTTTAGCAGTTCAAGCCCACTAGCCACTCCCTGGGAGAAAGCTAAGGCTTTTCTTTACAGCTTCAGAAATCTTATACAGGAGTTTATGAACCAAAATTGACTCAATGATACTGAACAACAATCAAGATAAGCCTATTGCCATTGAGTTGATGCCAACTCAAAGTCACCCTTCAGGACAGAATGAAATTGTCCCCAAAAGCATTCCTAAAACTGTAAATCTTTGGAGAAGCAAACTATCACATCTTGTCCCCACAGAGTGGCTGGTGGATTCGAACTGCCAACCTTCTGGTTAGCAGTCAAATTCTTAGCCACTGTGCCACCAGGGTTCCATATGTTTTAAGATAGTGTGTCTCTATAAAGATCCACAGTGATTTTCAGAAAGATGTGCTTTATAAACAAAGCATTGCCTTAGCTTTCTGGGATCTCTCTTTGACTTCAGTCTGATTCTGAGAGCTTACAGAATCAAAGGCAAAGATTTGATGAATGGCATTTCTTATGAAAAGCCAAGATAAGACTATGTATATCTGCTAATACTTACCACGTTGACCCCTTTAGAATGAAGAAAAAGCAACATGCTCATTTGAAAACTCATGTTTTTGCTGATTGCCTACAAAGTTCCCTGCTAGCCAAGTATATATATAACCTCTTTTCATTACTTCTCAGAATCCACAGCACTGCATTCCTTTTAAAGTGCATATACATGGACAAGCACATTATTTATGCTATTTTATCAGATACTCTTTAGTAAGTCTATCATTTGAAACATCATATTCCATATTGTGTAAGTGTAAGTGTACTGTAACAGCCAAGGATGGAAAATCGGAATTGTCTTCCATAGTTTTAGAATATCCTTCATGGTGGTGGTGTTTATGTGCTGTGGAGTTGGTTCTGACTCACAGAGATCCTGTACAGGGTTTCCGAGGCTGTAAACATTTATGGGGCAGAAAGCCTCATCTTTCTGCCATGAAGTGACTGGTAGATTCGAACTGCTGACTTCACAGTGAGAAGCCCAGCTCGTAACCCACTACACTACCAGGACACTGTCTCCTTTATGGGGTCATGATGCGGGACTTCTATAAGTATCCATATGTAGTTGAGTCTTTCAAAGGCTGGAACTTGAATCAGAGGTGGCAATGGGCCTAGAACATGGACTGCCAAGGAAAAATTACTTTCTGACATGTGAACTAAAGAGAAGTCAATAATTAAAACCTCAGGCAAGTAATTACCAGGGACAACTTAATACCCAAAGAAGTAACCCACTATATCACTCATCAGATATCTTTCAATGAGGGAGAATCAGAATACTCTCTCGTCTTCTTTCTGATTTTGAGAAGGCAGTGATGTTGCCCCAAACAAAAGCAACTTCTGGCAGACCTTATTATTATAAGATTTCTGTCTGAATTTCAGTCAAATTGCTGATTATGGTAGATTTCTACTGACTCTGGTTTTCAGTGTAAGCCATTTCATACAAACACCGCAAGAATCCAAAATGTGTGCATTAGAGGCAATTTATACATACACTGATTGTGTTGTACAAGTTTGGTAGCACAGTGGCTAAGTATTAGGCTGCTTACTGAAAAGTAAGCAGTTTGAACTCACCAGCTGCTTCCCGAGAGAAAGAGGTAGCAATCTGCTTCCACAAAGATTTACAGTCTTGAAAACCCTATGAACAGCTCTCCTCTGTTTTACACGGGCACTGTGATTTGGAACTGACTTGATGACAGTGGTTTTGAGGGTGTTGACTTTGTTTTGTTGTTGTTATGTGCCATTGATTTACTTCTGACTCTTGCTGACTCTGTATAGGGTTTTCGAGGAGTGGCTGGTGGGTTTGAACTACCAGCCTCTTGGTTAGTAGGCCAGTGCTTATCCTACAGAGCTGCACCAGGACTTTGGTGTATATTTTATCTGCCTTGTGTAGTTGATCTGGTGAGTAGAGAGTCAGTCAGCTGAGGCAATGATTTATTTAAAATCAATCTTCATGTTAAGTACTGCAGATCTTTAGAGACATATTCTTTTAAAATATAAATGAATGGACACTCTAAATTTACATTTTCACAACCAATGAAAATCAAAAATAGAGCAAATGCTTACATTTTATATTCCCAGACTTTAAACAAAAAGTTGTACTTACTATTTTTATGCCTTATGTTTTTATTTTCGTATCCAGATTCTTATATTAATTCACTGTTAAAACAAATATTTGATGGATCTTGCTTAATTTTTCCATATCATTGAAGAAAACACAGACAATGCTGTGTGGTTTCATGTTTATCAAAGGCACATGTGAGCATATGGGTGATACACAAGTTGTTTGTAAGCCCATCCTAGAACGGCAGCTGTTTAACATTATGCATTTACCTGATGTGGCACTGTCAGATAAATACTGGGCTGCTAACCACAAAGTCAGTGGCTCAAACCCACCAGACATGCCTTGGAAACGCTTTATAGGCTTACTGTAAGTCAGAACAAATTTGACAGCACTTAACAACAACATTTACTTTATACCTGATTGTCACTTGAAGTATATTTCTTGAAGTTAGGAATAAATAGAGTTGAACCAAGTATGCATTTATACCATAAAGACAACCTTCATTAAAGTAGATTACATAGGATGCTAATATTGAATAAAACAGAAAACATATCGCTTTGGCATATGAATTACTCTCAATATTCTAATAACTACTACTCTTTGGGGATCATTACCCAATGGAATGTATCTGATGGACCTCAGCATAAGGCTGAGACACAGAGATACTTTGAAGATGTCTCAGTAACAAGCAATAGGAGAAGGTTTCTGTTGATGGGCTATTAGCATAAAGGAAGTGCTTAAGTCAGCACTAAGGTGTACACAGTGAATGCATGGGCCACAACCATCTGTCTGAGGTGTATCTAGTGACAGGCTAAATGATCTCCATCATTCAGAAAGACAAAGGTTGTATCAGGATACCTATATAATTAGAGTACTATAGTTTAGAAATGTGACTCTAGTCTTTGGGTGGGTTTGGATCAAGGCAGGACTTTAATATAAAAATGCTGTCATTTAGCAGACATTTCCA